GGGCTTTCAGCCACTGCTGGTTGACTACAGAATATTAATTTTGATATGATTTTTACAGGTGAGAACAGTTGAGCCACTAGTGTTCATCAGAGACGCAGATGGACGGTCTTAAGAAAAGACTTATTTTGTATCCAGGGGTCCCAAAACATGTATTTCCGTTGAAATCTTGAAATCGATTTTCCGAAGCATTACATAACTTTCTCTCTACAACGTACATTACTACCTGTACACGTAAGGACACGAAAAAAATTTAAATTAGTGAGAAATGTGAATTTGAAAACAAGATGAATATATAACCATCTACATCCTAAAATACTCCTATCTATGCGATTTTTCTACAATATAATAAACCGAAAAATATGAAACGTCCGTAGGGGTCATGAGGTATTCGATAGTGTTCTTTTGATTTTCTGATTTTCATTTCATTTCTAGTTATTCGATCCTAAAAATTAAAGAGCAATAAGTTATTTATTAAGCGATTGGTACAAGTGGCATTTTATTTTGCGAGTAGAAAATGTGACAGGAGGCCAACCGGCCGAATGGCGAAATGCTATGAGCAAAATAAAATATTTTTCCCGCTCTCACAATTTTTTCGACAGCCTTACTTTTCCGTTTCAAGTACACAAATCGTTTAATTCTGTTCAATGCTTTGTCTGGACATTTTAGCATGGCGTCACTTTTAGCATTAGTAATTCAAATTGAACTTGTAGTACTCTTTGTATGCCCTAACCGCTTCTACTAGTGGCTGTCTAAAACTATAATTTCGGCAGCTCGATGCCTCCAGAGTAGGGATGCGTCCTCGATGTAAATGTTCTCAAAACATCGAAGTTTTTGTACATACATTGTAATCGATATCTTTTTTATCTTTCCCGGTGTTTTGGTTTTGCAAATTCCCATGATCACAATACTGTGAAAGTAAAAATATGAAATAATAACTGATTGTAACACTGTTATTTACGTGTGGAACCAAAGAAACGCTGTTTGCAGTACCTTCGACGACCAAACTCTCTCGCCCGAGATGTCCTCCATGCCCTTGTATTTCCTCTTTCTTCATATTTATTTCGCACATTGAGATAAGTTCGACAAATAAGCATGGAGCATAGCATCTGCCCCTTCTTCTCGTGCCCTTATTCGGCGAATCGATAAAAATGAATACTGCCAAATTAAATTTTAATACCCACGAATTTAATGTTAGAAGTTACTAATCCAGTCAAAAAACGTCGATGTTGTAAAACATCGATGTTGAAAAACATCTATGGTTTTTAGTCCATGTATTTTTAACATCGGTGTTTTCATTTTGAGCATCCATGTTTGCTAACATCGATGTTTTGTTATCGATGTCGCGTCACTACTCCCGGGCCGCCGTGCGATGGCGCAGGGGCCAGGTCGCGTGAGTGCGCGGCGTTACAAGCCGCCGTCAGATGCCTCCCCGTCCGTGCGAAGACGGCACAAATCACCTGACAAGATATCGTATAGGAAAAGCCGTGTAGTTGCGCCCCAAACAGGCAGGTACGCGTCGTCGGGCAGGTTCTGCCGTTTCACACCATGCCTAACCTGACATGGCCACTTGTGACCACTTACAAACGCACAAAACTCATCTTAGGATTCCGGTGAGGACTTCCACTTTCCTGGACACAACAATGCTTCTCTGCAGGAGGAATATGTTTCGAATTGATTGATTGATTCCAACTGCTCTGGCCATAAGCCCCGTTAGTGTAGTGAATGTTTTATCCCAGGAGGTATTGTTCCTCCCACCCCCTTCACGTGAAATCTGTCACCTACCTGACTGCTTGTGGGGATTTTCGCCAGCGTAGCGTAGTCCTAGCCGGGGCAATTTCTAAACTCCCCATATGAGGTAGTGTAGTGCATGTAAGTATATGTGTAAATAAGGAGAGAGGATAGGACCAGGAAGAAGAATAGATCGCATGCGTTTCATTGCCCGTTTTTTACGGTGCAGCTTCACCATTCGCCAAGAAGTGATTGTAGAGACCACAAAAATTACCTATCAAAGCAGCCAGCTAGAATTCTCTTCTGTACAGCGGCTTAATTCTATCTAGCTGTATTACAAGTGTTAAAAATTTGCTACCGCCGAGATTCGAACTCTAGAACCTCCCAGTCAGAGTCGTTGCAGATTCTCCTGCGGGTTTTTTAGATTATTGTTTATGTAGAATTTTCCATTGTTTTTCATCGCCTTCCGTAGGCATTTTATATTCTTCATCTCTCCACTACGTTCCACTTGTCATATCTCCTCTGCCTCCCCAAACGTTTCGAAAGTCGCAGACGAATGGTTAGGAGAATTTTCTCGCACCATTCCCGAGTGTCAGCGCGGAGGGACTTGAATTCTGTTGTAATATCCGATAAGTTCCAAAGAATGATAGAATGCGATATTCTATAGCTTATTAGGGTGTAGAGTACAACTAGCTTCGACTGCAAGATGCCCGGAGAATAAGAAGCTGATAAAGAAAGAAAAGAAGGAAAATGTTTGCCAAATTGTTTTGTAAGATTGAATCGATTGAAATCGGAAAACCAATATTGATAAAGAAGTGTGACCAAATGTTATTAGCATCTAAGGGGTGTTTTAAACATTTTGAATTAAAAAAAACAATTTTTTTTCACGTTGACGTTGTTCAGCGTAGTGTAATGGATAATACAAGGGTGGAGTGCATGGATAGGTGGAATTGCACTGACTAAAGCTCTAAGATTGAACAATAAGACTGCCCCACTCAGGACAAACTCTAAGCACCCGACTCGCCTTCAGACGTGTAGTGCGTGGGAGTGCACGTTTTAAGTACGAATAGCACGAAGAAGAGGAAGGAAAAATCCGGGGTGGGGTGTAGCCCATTTGTTAGAGTACTACTCTGGCATTTGCTCGGTGTTAATCGGAGAAACCACGGAAAACTACCAATCAGTGCAGCCGGCCACTAGAACTCTCCTCGAGACAGCGTCTGATATCGACCTAGCTATGTAACTAGTGTCGAAAATCCTTCTACTGTCGGGGCTTGAACCCAAGGACCTCCAGGCCAGAGGCGCGCAGTGACACCAATTGATGCCCTGAGCCACCTGGGCCGGTGCGCATGCGCAGTCGCGCGCCGTCGTGTGCGTCATGCGCGTGCGCAAAACGGAACGAAAAGGCGCCTCGCGCGGACGCAGGTTGACGACGCCCCTCCGCTCTTCTTCCGCGCGCCGGCCTTGCGCCCTGCCCCTCCCCTCCCCTCGCCGCGGGGGATGAGGGGGAGGGGAAGCAGAGTGAGGGGTGGGGGGGCGGCAGCTGCGAGTCCGCGGAGGGGCGGCGCCGCGTTCCCATTCCACACCGATGCGTATCGCGCCCCGCACGGCGATGTCTTCAATTTGATCACCCCCCCTCCCCTTCCCCCTCCCCACAGCTTCCAACGGCCCCCTCGCGGCGCAGATGCCCCCGGGCATGCACCAAAGGGCGGATTCCACACTGGCGCAACGGAGATGGACCCCTTAAAAAAATATTATTTATTAGTTAATATCAATTATATAATTCAAAAAATTGAGGAGTTTTCTGACAGAGAACCAAACAAGTCCTAATTTCCATTTTTCGGGATATTTAACAAGTTATTCCATACCTTGCGCAATCTTGCTACGGATATTTTAATATTCTCTCTCGGCTTGCGCCAAACACATAGAAACATATGTGGCGAAAAATAATAAATTGCTAATAATGCACGTCGAAGATATGAAGTTGTTGGTGCCTCATGAAAAATCTCGAATTTTGACTAGTTTGGTTCTTGTAAGTAAGCCTTCAACTATATAATATTCATACATAATTATGTATTGTTTATCGAGGCAAAATTAGAGTTGTAACTTTCCTTTAAAATATTCTCAGTTTCTGTACCTGTGTGACGACGAAAAGCGCAGGCAGGCGGGAACGGCTTGTTGTGATGAAGGGAATACATGTTCGCAACTTGTCTCTATTACCCTCTGGACGTGAAAATTAATTAGGCCCAATCATGGGGAAGACCTTTAGCTAGACGGCAAAAACGGACAAACGGCCAAAATGCCAAATACATACATACATATATCGTTTAAGTATCGGTATTACTAATTTTCAACGCACGCAGAAATAGAAAGAAATGTATGCATCCTCCGGGCCTCTTAGGGATGTCTGTGGTTTCTTTAGATATCCAGAAACTCGGTACAAATACAAAAACTATGAGACAGTTTCGCTTTTGACTCAGAAGTGCAAATATTTGATTGTGTTTCTACGACTGAATTTTTTTTCTCACTGACACATGGCCTACGTCACAGTTTACGTCATACAATAGCATTGCTCTAAGGAAGAGGCATCTCGTCTATTCATGGGTTGCGATATGGAACAGCAACTTTTATGGTGTTCTTGTTTTGCATAGAAATGTTTTACTGTGTATACTTTACTACTGTACGAGTAAATCATTGCAGATAAATAAACTTTAAAACCTGTTTATGTAAAACTTCCATTGAAACTTTTATTCGAATCATAAAACCATAACTCACATAATCGACCAATGCCTTCAATTATGAAATATCATAAGTTTTAAATTAATTAAAAGCCTTTTTTATCGAAGAAGAAAATAGTTGAACTCAATATTATATTATTATATTAGATATTTAATTTTCAAATAGTTTGCAATTAAAACGAACACATAGAAGATAGCCGACAAATTACACAGTCGAGACCATAATTTAATAGAAAATTATGTCTTTCAGTTTTTAATCTCTCCCTCTTTTAAATATTATCTAAATAGATCTTTAATGGAACATAGTGCTCGTTCGTTGGGTAAGGTCTGCATGTAACTCGTGTTGGAAAGAACGTCGCTGGCTTTGCCATTGTAAAAGATTTATTTTAAAATATTTATAGCAGTTTCTCAAAGTGGCTGTTAATAGGAGAGAAATGCAACAATAAAATGCAATAAAACGAAATACCAATAACTTGAGTTGCGATTACTAGAATTTCTCGATATGTCGATTTATTTTCAGGCAATTTTTATTTCATATTTTGTACTGCATGTTTAATTTCATAAAACTATTTGATAACTGAATGTATTTCCATTGAACTTTTATGCATCAAGGTTCTCTCCTTTAATAATCATATTAGCTTAATTATTTATAAAGTGAAATGTAGAATTTATGGAATGTGGTCCGAATATTAACACATTTTATCACACAAGAATGAGAAGAAAAATAATGGCTAATTCAGGGACAGTATGGTCGTTCCATTGTTTGAATGGGTTTAAAAATTACTGCATTCAGGAATTGATAACCGAGGTGAATTGATAAACTTCGAGCCAGGAAATAGAAAATCAGAGTTGAACAGCAGTTTTCATCTTGAGGAGAGGTTACTTCAGGGATTCCTCCAGGAAGTGTTACTGGACCTCTTCTGATCTTCCCGTACGTGAATAATCTGCAAAAAAACATTTTTTTTAATGTTACGACTATTTTCAGATGACTGTATAACATATATACTTGACTACGTTTCTGGGCGGAAAAATTGCATGACAAATACATAACAATGAGAATCCTTAGCAATTAATAACATTACTTATACCAAATGAAATATGAACGTAAAAATAGAATAATAATTTTGTGTTAATTACATTTATATATTCATTTGTAGGAACAATTTAGAATATTTTATGTAATAAAATGCGGATTTTACCTACTATTTTGAAACTGAACCTGATGATGTCATATTTAGAATATGAAACGTAGTACGAATAAAGTAAAGTGAAAAATAGAAAATTTATTGTCTAAAAATTAATTTGGAAACTTACGTCAAGAGAAGCATGACAAATAGTTGGAAAAGCAAAACCATCGTGTTTGGAAGGGGCGTAATGACTGTGAAACGTATTTTCGTTTAGGTAACAAGAATATTCCAAGAGTATTGTCTTGTAGCTGGGAATATATTTTGACAGCAAATTAGGTTGGAGAAGTAATGTAAACTCTGTCGAATGGATTGCCTAAAATCCTTGGCAATTTTACTACTGGATACTCAAAACAAGTAGAATGAAAGCAAGGAAACTAATTAATTAATAGCAGATTAGTATAATACTATGAAAGGATATCTTTGCTCTGATGATGCTTTACAAAGAAAACAAAAGAACTACAAAATTGCAAACATTATTTAAATATACAGAAGTTAAGTACTAATTCGTGGATTCAGTTGGACAGACGTTCGTTCCCTTTTGTGGATTGTCTTTATGACTAATAAAGAGGTTTACTTAAAATTTGTGAAAACGTACTTACATTTATTCCCATTCAGATACTTGTGAAATGTTCACCGCAGAAAGAGATGTAAATGCTTACTTGACGAAGACATCTGCAAGTATTCCACGAGATTAATTAAGTATTCCATTAAAAATTAATTTTGAACTACAAGAGTCATTATCTAGTAATTATCAAAGACAGATATAATCGTGTTGGATGTACGATAGATTTTGCTCTCGAGTTAATGCATACGAAGCGAAATGCTTTAGTCGGTTATGGTAGTTGCCTCCTTGTTCCTAAGAGAGGTTCGCGAAATTACAATAATTGTTCTTCGGAATTCCCATTCACTCATTCTTTGCATAGCGGAAAAGGCTTGCTTTGCATTAAAACTATTTGTACAAAGCAAGATCTCCAGTTCTTGAGCTCGCAAATGTACTGCAAAGGAAACTCAGTCTTCAGCAGTGACAAACAATGAGATCCACGAAGAATGTGAAGTGAAACAACATGCAGATTATTGGATAAACACACATCTGATGCTCCGTGGATGCAGTATCTCTAGCATGAAGACGAAAATGCGCCTAGCAGTATCGTCGTCACGCTGGCTTCATACGCGGGGCATTGTGTTTTCTTTGTTTCGAAAGGGCAAGGAAATGCAAAATTATTTGTTCAAATCAAATATATAGGAGATTTACCTCTCTCACACATGTATAATTAGGAAGAGATGTGAAATGCCTTGTGCAGTGGAGTTAGATACTCTCGTGATTCAAATTTATATTTTATGTAATGTGCGAGTAGTATAGCAATTCTCACTGGGAGTAATTGCTGTTTACTTCAAAAGTGTATTCACTCATATATTTAATTTAATCTTTAATTGAAATGAATGAAAATCGTAGTGTTCTGGTACTATCATTCAGAAACGTTCTTTCAAATTAAAAATATCGGTTATGATGGAAATAAGAAATGTTTTCTTTCATTTGAAGAATAGAAGTTACATTATTAGAATAAAATAAATTTAAATTTAAAATAATATAAATAAAACATTAAAAAGCTGCAATATGAGTTTTGTCAGCAGTGTAAAATATTCTACTATTAAACACAATAAAACGAAAGAAAAGTGTGGACTGAGCGTGTGTCGCCTGTGGAATCGTAGATGAACATCAGTGATTTGAGCATTGGGCCACCATTTTCAGGTTGGCCAGAGAATAAGTTTTTTTTAAAGTTATCTGTTTATGGGTGAAACAGGGCCTGAATAGCGTTTGGTTGAACTAAATTTAAATTATGACACTACGTCTTCTTCTTCAAACGACAGAAACGTCATATTTAGCTCAACACTTCCAGAAAATATTTTCTTTAAAATTTATGATATTAAATTACATATAAGAATTTAATTATGTATTAATATATAATAATACATTAGAATAATTATATCATTACGAGTAGTAAAATATTGAACGTGATCAGGATTCTCAGTGCTTAGTGAAGTCTTGATAGCTGTCGACTGCGTAAAGATGGTCAGTTGTTTTCCTGATCAATTTCTTTATCAAATGCCAATAAAACGAGCCACTAACCTCACGCAAAGTTCCTCTCCCTTCGTAACATTTCATACAATCCGGTCTGGGGCGTTGGGAGGTATATCTTCCTTCACACTCTAGCATATGGCAAATGTGAGAATGCTTTGTCCCTTAAAAGGAATGGATACGTGCTTGTTTTAAAGATGATATAATCAAACACGATCAATATAATTTACAATGTAAACATACTTTTTTTACAATCACCTACAAACAATTCTCCATGAAGTCAAAGTAGACCAATTTATTATAATATTAAGAAGCCATGTATGCCGTCAAAAGTTTGTTCAGTTTTATATTGAATTTGTGTTCATCTATTAACTCTATTGTATCTATAAGGTCTTCTAAAAACACTAAAACCAATTACGAAAATTATAATAAATATCCGTTCGTGATCAGTTCAACCTCAGTTCGACCGAAATAAACAGCAATCCTTCACAACTGGCGTCGGGACTCGAGACAGGAATCAAAAAAACAACTCCCGGTTTATTCCTCATGCGAATCTTCTCTGCACACAGGTCGCCACGGTTCACTTAACTCCTCTTTTCTTATGACACTCCCCACAAGTAAGATAACATCTGACACGCACACGTCAAAGAAACCATTATTTATTCGCCTCTATGTACTTCTGCAGCAAACGAAACGTGGATTAATTTGCTTTGCTGCGTCAATCGTTTCTTATACCACCGTTTATTCTCTTTCTCTCTTTAACCAGTTGTACTTGTTAGGCGTGTATATTGTTCAAGCAGTAGGCAGCTCACCCGCGGGATGGTAAAAATAAAGGAGGCGTCTTTAAAGAAAACAAAAAACAAAAAAAGACAGAAATAAAAATAGACAAACGAAAAATAAGAAGGTAAACCTGGGCAATTATACGACTTGAGTCGCGGCGGCGCGAACGTGACACGAATGGCGCTGGAGGTGGGGGGTTGGGGGGGGGAGGGGGAGGAAGGAGGATTCAGCTGGAAACGAACTGGATCGCGTACTTCGTTACGCGTTGGAGGCTTCCAATTTGCTCGTATGACGACTCACTTCCAAGGCTCGCTCGCCTGATGGCCTGGCACGGCCAGTTCAGCTCCTGGTGGGGACAGTCACGCCCGACATGCGGTTTGATTTCACCGAAGCGAATTGTTTCGATATATTGTGTATATTTGAAATTTTTTTCACGGGTAGAAAATTTGGCAATTATTATTTTGTACTATTTGAAACATACAAAGTAATAATTCAGTGGCGGCACTTCTTACAAATCAACTAAAATGGTTAACTTAAAGGAAGTGGATTAAACGTATTTAGTCTCGTTCTATCAAGACATTCATAAAATATTCATTGCCAGATTATTTGGATGCCTTTTAAGTTTTTACTGATAATTCATGTTTCTTAACATCGTATTTTCTTATTCTTCTGGCATCTTTAAATCTTGATGAAGAAGATAAATATTGGTGAGAGTAATTTACAAAGCACCTGGGTGCATTAGTTGTTGATTTTTAAAGGTTTGAATTGAAATGTTTGGATTATTTCAAATTTGTGGAAAATTGCTGATTACTTAAGTTTTATTCTAAAACTTCATACAGCTTTAATTATTGCTAACACAAGATCTCGAGGAATTTTCTTCTTTTAAGTGAATAGCATTACCATACTGTGGTTTTGGGGATATAGCATACCGCATTGTGTAGACAAACATACATTTCAATTATTCCATGTCAGTCTTTGATAATCGCGTTATCCGAACCATATAGACCCTCATTAAGGTGTGCTTAAATAACTACCATGACCACAAATATTTTTTAACCTTATAAGATATGGAAATATGGCATTAGTCAGATGACGTATGATTGAACGATTAAGTGCTCGTTTGCTTTTCGAACACTTTGACTGAGAACTTTGAGCCTGAGTATAACATTGTTTTTTTTCAGATGGCCCCACATAATGTTTTATTTTGTTACAAAATTTTCAAAATCTGTCAGTGAATTTCCCGGTGTGCGTCACTTTATTTGAAAATGTAATTCAGACTCTCTCGTACGCGCTGCATATGTTAAGCCAGGCAGCAAGCGAAGTCCGCACCGTCTCTGAAAAAAACATATTTGGAGAGCTCTTTTGAAACACTTGTTATTAATGGCATATCTGGCTGCAATGGCGTATTTAGTCGATACTGTCATCGGATATCTGAAATGTTTATGCTTTTCTACTCAATATGCTATGTTACATGTACGCTATGCCATTCCTTGTTGGTCATTTATTTTGGGATACATCAGAATCATCATGATTACAATTAAGCACAAACACAATGTCACTTTAAGTACTGTATTCTGATACGAAAAGAAGGATTCTCATTGTCTCGGCAATAGGTTCAACATTTTGATGACACTTTACAACGATTTCATATAAGATTTCTGGATATTTCTATAACATATATGTTGAGAAGAAAACCTGAGATGTGGATAAAAGAAATCGTACCACCAGCTTCTGGCATTGTGGAATGCGTTGATAGTCTTCTGTGAGTTCTATTTTTATTCACACCTGCAACAGAGACGTTCATGATGCAATACTTTCAACTGAAAAATCAAATCATTTTCATATTCAAGTTTAGTTTTTAGGTTTAACGAGTTAATGACTAACTAAACGAAGTTAGTTC